CAGAGTATTCATGATGAAATTTTGTTGAATGTACGGCAACTGCCTGTTGTAGAAAGACAAGTGTAGAGGACGACGTTTCGAAAGTCTTCCGCCTTTCATCTTGAGGCGTAAGACTTTCGAAACGTCGTCCTCTACACTTGTGTTTCTACAACAGGAAGTTGTCATCCATTCAACAAAGTTTCATTATTATTATAGGTCTTATAGATGCTTAATGTTTCTGTAAACATACATGATTTTAAGATAGTGATTGTCTTCTGCCTGTTCTGATAGTTGTTTGCAAAATACTTGGTAAAGTAAACCAATTTTTGACTAGTGAAGTACCTACAAAGTAGATGTATAGTAACAATTCCCTCTTATCTTAACTCTCTCACTACGGGTTCGGTCCCAGAGACTGACCGTGTAACCATTTTGTGCTTGTTATGGTTTTTAAACTATAACTTTTAATACAGAAAATGTATTTTCACAAAATTTCTGCAGATGATCAGTTAACATTACAAGGCTTTAGTACACAAAATATCAGTTTTTTTTAGGTAATAATTTACTCGTGCATTTTTTCTTTTTGAATGTTGACTATCCAACATGCAAAGTAATTTTGATTTTAAGATTAAAAATATTTTTATGCATCAGAAAATTTTCAAATTTCACAATTCACCCTTATCTTAATGACGTATTCACTGCTTGAAATATTTGGTAGATCTTTTGAAAGTATTTTTTTATTATCTATGACTGGTGAATTTCTTGAGCTCAGTTGTTAACGAAATGGTTTACAAGATGGATGCATTGTAATTTTATATGTATATGCAGTAATGGTTAAATTGAGGAAATAAATTAGTTGATTCAGGTATGTTTTATACGAATATAAGAATTGATTTTCATTGGGATTTTTAATTTTGCTCGATTAGCAGCCCGTTCTCACTGTTTACACAATTCAGAATTAGTTTTGAAATATGAAAAAAGAACCACTTAGAATGGCCTTATGTAAACTGTATCATAAACATCAGTCAAAGATTAATCACAAAAATTTAAAACAATTGTACATAAGTTTTTCTGTCTTTAGATTGGATATGACTTCTTTCTCTGAAAATTTGTTTTCCAGCTTGTGTTAAGAACTAGTCTTGGAATGACAGTAAATGAAATTTAATTTTTTCTTTATAGGTTATGGATGAAGATTTGGGTGATACTACAGCTTCAAATGCTTTACCTCCTCTTCCTCAAGATACAGCTCAGCAGGACGAATTATTTAGTAAATTAACGAATGATGGAGACGATACAGTTAAACAAAATGAAGGTAAAGTGTGGTCCTTTAGTTCGAAATTGGATATTGATTCATTTTGTCTGTTTGAGTGTATGTATTGTAGATCCAAGTGAAGGTTGTTTGGCTGTAATACAGCAATTTTTAAATATTTCTCTTTATATTGATGTAATCAAGTGATCTTGAGCTTTCAAGTAAGTTTTTTTTTTTGTTCAGAACAAACAGTTGTGTAGTAGGCCAGGCTTAAAAAGATTTCTGTTTGCCATAACTCGACCATCTGAAATTGGGCCAACTGAAAGATTTTTTTGACATTATGACCTGGGAAATTTTTATTTTCACTAATTTATGACAATATACCAACCCATCTAACAAAATTTGCTGACTTAAAGAAAAATTTTTTATTGCTGTTTTATGGTTAGAATATTTTCAACAACTTAAGTTACTCAGAAGTCACATAAAGAAGTGCTTTAAGACAATGTTTGCATTTAAGTTGTATATGTAGTATTGCATAGAAATTTTGACTGCAAGCCCATGTTAATTTTTAGCTTTGCCTCGTATAATTCATAATGTGTTGATTAAATCCCTAATCAAGCTGTATTAAGTTAACATAAACACAATCATGTGGGTTTGTCACAACCTTTTACAGAATTACATTCATGATTTAATTAAAGTACTTTAATATCAATGTATATAAATAAACTTAACATCAAAATGTAGCTAATAAATCAAATGTTATATAACCTTTAAGCTCTTAAAGTCTCTCCTAGTATTGTGACATTTGCTCTCTAGGTCTTCCCTCTACTCTAATTTATTTACCAACCCTCAGAGAAATACATAATTTAACGTACATTACTCATGATATAGCTATTACACAGGCAAAGCATATATTTTATAACCTTCAATCTTAATTGTTTACAGAGCCATAAACTAGAAAATAATACCACTCTTGCCACACCCACCTGTCACACCCTCCTTTTCACAAATTGCCAATATCTCCCTCTGACATTTAATATTGTATTATTCATAATGAATAGAAAAACAAAGTTTTAATCTATCAACTGATATATTATTTTACATTGTTTTCTGTACAAAGAATTGTCTATTTTGCTTCCAATTGGAACTTTATTCCCACAGGAAACGTATTTAAGAGCTTAGCTGCATTTTGTACAGTACTTATCACATAGTTAGAAAGCCAGAAAAATTATCATAGCTATAGGACATTGTCTGATTTTTCCATGTTATTATTACGTGCTCTTAGATGTGGCATTTAATTAAACAAAAAATATATTTAATATGGTAATTAGTATAAAATAGTAGGCTTAAATTCATTGATAGTCGACAGTAAACAAAAAGAAGACCCAGGTAAGTATTATATTCCTGTTCAAAAGGTAATAAAACAATTAGGTTAACCATAAATAGATGTATACTGTTACAATTTACAGTCATTCCAGAAAGAAAAAGGGTAATTTAAATTATTTCTTAATTTTTTATGCTGGTTACAAGGTTGGTCAAATCGACTCACCCTGTATGGAGTTATTAGTATAGAAAATAACAAATAAAATATAAAGATTAAAAAAAAACATTTGATACTTAGGAGGTTTTAGGGATTATGCAAATGAAATTTGAAAATCTTCAAATTAAGAAAAGTATTTTTAATCTTAACATGAAAATCACTGTGCACTCAAAACAGTCAACACTCTGACATCATATAATTACGGACAAAGGTTTAGTAAATATACTTAATTAAAAATTCTGGTTTTCTCTCTACTAAAAACTTAATGTTTACTGAAAACTTGCCAAATTTAGTGAAGATACATTGAGTACTTTCAGAGTCATAGTATGTATATCACCATGGTAACATGCTGGTTACAAGGTTGTGTAAGATACACAAGTCTGTTGTGATAGGGTTAAATAATATTTATTGAAAGAAATATTTGTTCCTTTGGCATGATTTATATATGATATGAATAGGCTAAAGCTCATTTAGAAGCAAATAATACTCCAAAAGTTTTCTGGACAATTAAGTTATTTCATCACATAATCCATCAGTACAATAACTAGAGAAACTTCACAGGGAATTAACTGTTTGGTAAAATTAAGGTGTGCTAACAAATAATTAACATTATTTTAATAATATATTTTTAGAGTGTTGTTTATCAAGCTCTGTTGGTTCTTCATTAGTTAATATAGGACAAACTAGATCTTTGGAGCTTATATTTTATGCATAAAGTATATATATACTCATTGAATAAGCCCTGTAGAGCAGTTTTACATTTACATCATCTTGACCTACAGCACCGGTTTTCAACCTTTTCTCTCCAAGGGCTTGACTGGACCATTAAGACTATGTAAGCTTTACTACAGTGTATGACCATTGTATATTAATTTCATGGAATGTAGATTGTTTTACATGGAATTATAAAAACAAGTTTGAGAAGATTTAGAATTTTAATTATATTAATATTTGTTCCGAAAAAAATATTCATTCTCTGGATGTTTTTACAGGTTTGCAAGAACCATGTCCTTGGATCATTGGTTGGGAATAACTGATCAGTAATATTACATTTTCTTTAGTCTGATATCATCTATAATAAAATGTGATTGTAAATTTATTTTCTTGCAGTCAGAGGATGCTCAGAATTTGCTGTTGCTACTGCTCCTGATGAAGTGAATGTAAGGCTAAGTGCTCCTCCTCTTCATCCAACACCATTACCATCGCCTGGTTATCAGCCTCATCCTCACTATCTTACTCCTCATGTACATCTAACTCATCAGCCAACAACTCCTACCAGTGGTGTTGAGTTGGACTCTACTTTTAATTTGCCTTCATACACTCAGCTGTCAGCTGAATCTGGAAGGTAATTTGTGAATATCTGAGCATGAAAAGAAATTTGTGTTTGTATGTGCAATTGTTTGCAACATGCAGGAATTTTAATAGTAGTAAGTTGGTAAATTATGGTTTGCCTTTTTTTGGTTTTAAACCTTGTTTTTTTCAGTTTATTCATTATTAATAACTCAGAATTAGAAATTTTTTAACATTGTTATCATGCAAGAAGTAACATATAATGTAAAAAAGTAACATGATATTTTGAAACGTTCCTTTTGGTTATATTTACAGTTATTTGAATTTTTATATTTTTAGAATGACGTAATTATTATATAAATTGATAGTGAATATCAAACAATAGTGAAACAGTGTAAATCATGTTGTATTGCCTATTTAATCATTAGCTCCCAGTTGTCAGCTCCATCTAGTCCTTGGCCAGAAAGAGAACGGCTTGAAACTCCTCCACAGATTAGTGTTCATATTCACAAAAATGTATTGAAATGGAAATCTGACGAAGCTCTGGGTGACAAAGCTACCATATCATCAATCTTGTATACAAACATTAATATGCCTCAACTTAAAATTGAATATCCTAGTAAGTAAATTGTGTATTGGTAGTTGAATAAAATCTCACTGTGGTTTTAATAATATTGTTGCTCAGAATTAATTTTTAAAAATTATTTCTTGATTGGTGGTTATCAAAAAACTATTTGAGAAATACTTTACCAATTCTTAATGGCAACAAAGATATTTTTTAACCCTCACTATAAACACTGTATTAAAAAAAATGTGAAGGTAAAATCAGTTAAGAAGCATCTCTAACTAGCAGTATGTTCTACAATGAAGTTCAGAATTTTTATTAATTTTCTTTATTAAATATCGAATCCTAGGTTTAATGAAAAATGACAAAAATTGTGTAACTTGACAGTATCTGAGGTTTAATGTCTTAAAGTTTAACAGCGTGATAATACACATTGGATAATTGGATAGGAAATTGAGCCTTGGAAGTTAATAGTACTGTCAGTTTGGTGTCCATCAAAATTCTTTTTTTTTTTTTATTTTACTTGTGACATGGAAAGTTTTTGAATATTAATCTCATATTTCAGGTGGGCACAATAACCCCATCAACCTAATAAAATAGTACCACCTAATAAAATAAATATATGGTGCATCAGAAAAAATCATGAGTGACACTAATTGAGATTTCATTGCTAATATAAACGTGTTTTCTAATTCTTTACAAAGAAAAATAATTCTGGAAAGGTCTACTTTTATTTGCATTTGAGTAAACCAAGGCAATAGAGTTGAAACAATGTGATCTCCATTTTTCTTTCTTTTTTTTTTTTTTTTTTTTTTTTTTTGCTTTTTTAAAATAC